CAGCCGGGCGCCCCGCCGGCCTCGCCCCAGGACGCGGCGGCGGGGAGCGGCGAGGGGGCACCAGCGGAGTTCAATTGGAGGAAGCAGTGGTATGGCGTGGCAGTGATCTCAGACCTCGACCCCAAGCAGCCGACGGCGACCAAGCTGCTGGGAATGGACTTGGTCATCTGGCGGGATGGAGGTGAGCCTCTCAACAGAAAGCATTCCTTTGTATCATATTTAGCGATTGATCCCATCGCATGCATCCTTGAAGGGGCGGGCCGCATGCTCGCATTGGGAATGGTGCTGTTGACGCTCCAGGGTTGGTCCGACAGCACATGAAACAGTACATGGCCGCGCGGACCGTTGCCCGGCCGGGCTGTGCGCTGCAGCGCGCGGGGCCCCCCTGTTACTGGGCTGCTTGTGCACCGCGCGTCCAGGCCGCTCGTGGCCAGGCTGGCGCGTCAAAGTGACTGCTGAGGACTTTCGGCTGCGACGCCCCCGCGACACTCGCGAATGTCTTGCTATGCAGAGCGCAAGTGGAGCGTCCTGGAGGACAAGTGTCCCCACAGGTGTGGACAAGGGGCGCCTGCAGCTGCCTGCCAACTTGCCCTGGCGCCCGCCAGCCGTTTTCCCGCCTCAGCCCGCTCAGCTATGAGCATGTGTACAGGTTTTAGGGTGTGTGCTCTCGCGCGCGTGTGTGTGTGTGTGTGTTTGTGTGTGTGTGCGCTCGTGCGTGTGGTGTTTGTGGGCGCGCACATGTATATGCGTGCGCATACACACGCACGCACACACATACACACTCACTGCATCTATCTATTCGCACGCGCTCGCACACATCTTGCACAAGCTTTTTGCTGCATGTAATCACACAACCCGCACATGCACATGCGCAATAACACAGGCTCGCACCCCTGAGCGAGGGCCGTATTGAGCCCAGCGACGGCACCCTGCAGTGCTCCTACCACGGCTGGCGCTTCTCAGCAGACGGCCGCGCCGCGGCGATCCCCCAAGCCAGATTCGACGCGCCCCGGGTCAGCAGGGGCCGAGTCATTTGTCCAGCCGCATGCGCCGTGCCCCGCCGCAGCTGTTGCATGCGCCGCAGCTTTTGCATGCGCCACATTTCCACGCTTTGATATGCACATGGACGCCGTGCACCCCAGCGGGATGCCGTCGCGGGCCGCCAATGTCGTGCTGGTGCTGCTCTGCGCGTCGACGGGCACAAGCGCCGGACGCACGCGCCGCGCCTGCCTTTGCCGCCCGCGATTGTGGCCCCCACCTTCTTATCGGCTGGCCGCGCCCTCCGCCGCCCCGCAGGTCGAGGCTCAAGCCTGCGGCTCCCGCCGCTCCTGCGTTCGCTCCTACCCAACCGCCGAGGGGATGGGCGTGCTGTTCGTCTGGGGCGACGCGGGGCCGGGCGCGGCGGAGGAGAGCGCGGCGGCGCCGCTGCCGATCAACCCGCGGCTGCTGGCGCTGAAGCCGGGTGCGCAAGTGGGGTATGTTTGGATGGCGCGCGGCGGGGCCGGCAGCGAGGGCGCCAGGCGGCAGGGAGTAGGGGCGCTGCGTGTTCGCGTCGGCTCGCGCGGCTCTGCGGCGTGGCAGTCAATAGAGCACGCGTCTGGCAGACCCGTGCGCACAGGGGGAGCTGAGGTTTGGCCAGCGCGCCGCTTGGCTGCAAGTTGCGCAGCCCCAGCTGCGGCGCGGCTTCGCCTCTGCACCTGGGCGGGCTGCACTCATGCGTTGATGCAGCCTGTGACACCATCTCTCGAGCCCGTCTGCCCGTCAGCCATCACATGTCCGTGACCCACCCCTGTAACTCCTCTCCACACACACCCTCCGGCTCACTTCCCACAACCCTCGCACCCCCAGGTGAAGTCAAGGCGTCCACCCTCCAGAACTTCACGCGCGACTTCCCAATCTCGCATGACATAATGGTGGAGAACACCAGCGACCAGTCGCACGTGGGTCACCGGGGGCTTCTCGCTGTGAACTTCTTTGCAGTAGCCTTTGAGGCTGATTTTTCTGTAGGGTATGTATGGTGATTTGGCAGTGTTGCTGGGAAAGCTTTGGGAATGTGCGGACCGAGTTTGGCACCTCTGGTCGACGGTGTGAATGATGGCCGCCTGCTGTGGCACCTCTGCGGTGTGGGCACGAATGGGATCGCGAGGGGTGCTTTGCGGCTATTTCAGGCCATTTGTGGGGCCCATGCAGTGCACGTGGCCAGCAAAGCGGCTCCCAGGTGCTGACATCAGTCCCCCTCTCCATTCGCTTCGCCTCGGACTCCGCCCCTTCCGGCTGCAAACGTCATCACCACTCCCCCCAGCAGCCACGCCGTCGCCCCAAAGTCCAGGGCTGACATCACCGCCGCCCGACAAACTTTCGCACCACCCCTCCTTCCTCGCGCCCCCCGCAGGTGCCGTGGGCGCATCATGGTGTGGCCCACAGCCGGGCCTCGCCCTATGCGACCCACTTTGTGGTCAGCCACCTGAACGAAGACATAGAGCCTGGGCACGAAGGCTTCTCGTACCGCCTCGAGGTGGGCGCCTCTGAACCACTCACCCAACTGGGGGCCCGCGCCGACGCGCAGACGGTGTGCGGCGCTTCGAGGGAGCCGCGTGGGGGACGTTGGTCGGCGTTCACGCCACCGGCGTGCGGCGTGGCTTGCCCTTCATCACCCGGGCTTCACCCCCACAACCCCCTGCTGTCGCAAAAGCGCCAGTCATCCCGCACGCTCCATCCCTGCCCGCCCCCACCCTGTGTGCCCAGTGGAGCCCCAGCGCCGTCAAGCCGCCCACCACCCAGGTCGTCACCTTCACAGCACCTTCCTACCTGGAGTACATTAGTAACCACGACGACGGCACGGCGACGTTCCTCTGGTGAGGGCATGGGGTGTGAATCTGGAGGGGTGGGAGCTTCCTGTCTCATTTTGGGCCTCTTCTGCATCGCCAAAAGAGAGCAAGCGACGAGTTTCGAGTTTGAAAGGCGTCTCGTCCCGCCACCGAGCACCGCGGGGAGGCCCGAGCGCGGGGTGGGCGGCGTCCGGGTGCCGCCGCAGGAAATGCGGCCCTCCGCCGCCGTACCACGGGTGCGGCATCGAGGCGCCCGTCCGCCGACATGCCCCCCGTTGCCGCCCGCGCCCTTTCGGCCGCCCCGCGCGCCGTTTCGGCCGCCGCAGGTTCTACCTGACGCCCCTGGACGACAACAGCACGCGCGTCATCACGCACAGCGTGACCACCAAGGGGCTGGGGCTGCCGCCGCTGGTTCAGAAGCTGCTGGGTAGGTGGCGGGCCGAGGGCGGACCGAGGCTCAACATATTTCTGGCTCTAGCGGCCTGCTCGCCCCATGAGACTGATCGGCTTCCCCCTTCGGGCCCTCCCAACATGCTCCGTGCTCCGCTTGCCCTCGCCCCTGCTCCCTCATCCCCCAGCCGCCCGCCTCCCC